AGCTTAACAAACCGTAACAAAGCTCAACAAAGCTTGACTCAAAGCGTAGGAAAGCTTAACACAGCTTGGTTCAAAGCAGGGACCCCAGTCTATTCACGGTCTGTTACCACTTGACACACTTCGTTAAGATGTCTCAAGATTTGCTACGATCTGGCATGAAGATCTGACACGAGGTCAGACGCTTTCATCAATATCTGACACTCTTTGTTACACTTTCCTGAGGGACTCTCAAGCTTTCCAACGAATTGAGACGCTTTAATCAAGGATTGAAACGCTTTGCTAGGCTTTGTTACGCTTGAAAGTTTTCACACGCTATATCACGCCGTGCGACAAATGTCATGTCTTCTTCAGATAGGTCATGCTCTGGTCCATCTGGAATTTCTGGATCTCGTTGTTCTGCCATCGTGTTCTTGAGTCAAAGATGCAATGGTTTTATGGATCTACTGCATCTTTATATAGTCATTGGATCAAAAGCGGCATGGAATCGGCGATCTCGACATTTTCCAATGCGTGACAGAGCTTAACAGAGCGTAACAATGCACAACAGAGTTTTGCAATCGTATCAGAGCCTGATTTAAAGTGTCATAATCGCATCAAAGCGTAATAATGCTTATCAAAGCTTTTCAAAGCGTGATTTCAAGCGTAACAAAGCCTGATCAAAGCGGGATCAAAGCGTGAGGAACCTTTTAGAGCTATGTTAAGCTTTCCTACGCTTTGGATCAAGTTTTTCTGAGCTTTGTTACGGTTTGTTAAGCTTTGATACGCTCTCGGCGCTTAATCGATTCGTAACAGAGCTCAAAATTTTTTAAGAGTTTAAAATTTTTTGGCGCTCTTGCCGAATATCCCGTTTTACTCTGAGCTTTTCTACGACCTATTACGACCCCGACGCTTTAATCAAACTTTGTTACGCTTTGGTGCCGCTTTACAAGCCGCTTTAAAGCGCCATCAAAGCGCCGTTGGTATGAAGAAAAATGACAAAAATGACGGCGCTTTGCTCGCCGATTTAAAGCGTGGCATTCGACGTTGGTGTAAACGTACCTTAATGAAATAAAAGATTACTCTTGATTTTTATCTATTTTGGGGGATTTTGTTTTAATTTTTTAATACTTTTTTAAAATCAACCAAAAATTCCTTTGTATAACTATAATATTGAGAGGTCTAAAATATGTTGTATATGTTATTTTGTTCCAACAAGGTTCGGAAAGACATTTTATTTCATTCTCAAGAATTGGTAGAAAGGAGCAAAATCAATTGCACTAAAAAAACAAAAAATGTTAACAAAAACAGTTATATAAAATATTTCTAAATTATTTCGCATTAAATTGTTGTCAAATTGCTGTCAATCATCAGTGTATAAAATTTGAGCCAAATCAGTCTACGATACATGATCATCAAAGATATTGGTTTTCTTAAATGGAAGCCATTTTGAAATTCAGCCACCATCTTGAAAATTCCTTATCAAGCAGAACTGTGTCCCTAAGCATCAGCATATAAAATTTGAAAAAGGCTCTCTACTTGTAATTGAGTTATCAAAGCTTAGTTTTTTTACAAAAAATGGTGGCCATTTTGAAATTCAGCAGCCATCTTTATAATGTCTTCTTGAGCAAAGCTCCTTTGTACCTTAGCATATAAAATTTTAACAAAATCAGTGTACTGGTATTTTAGTTATCAAAGATTACGTTTTTTTATGAAAAATGGCAGCATTTTTGAAATTTAGCCATCTTGGAAATGTCTTATTGAATTATTGGATTGAACTAAAATTCGTCTACTGGTATTTGAATTATCAAAGATTACGTTCTTTAACGAAAAATGGTGGCCAATTTTGAAATTCAGCTGCCATCCTATCGAACACAGCTCTTATTTCCCTAGGCATCAGCATATAAAATTTGAACAAAATATGTCAAATGGAATTTGAGTTTTCAAAATTTAAGTTTTTTCACGAATAATGGCGACCATTTTGAAATTTAGCAGCCATCTTGAAAATGTCTTCTTGAGCAAAGGTTGTTTGTCCCTAGGTATCAGCATATAAAATCTGGACAAAAACTGTCTAATAGTATTTGTGTTATCAAAGATTACGTTTTTTTATGGAAAATGGTGGCCACTTTGAAATGTAGTAACCATCGTGAAAATTTATTCTTGAACAAAGTTTTTGTCCCTAGGCATCAGCATCTAAAATTTGAACGGAATCTATCAGTTCATATTTGAGTTATCAAAGATTACATTTTTTACAAAAATGGTGGCCATTTTGAAATGAGTAGCCATATTGAAAATTCCTTCTCGAGCAGAGGTTCTACCCCCATAAAGGCATAAGCTTTTAAAATTTTAATCAAATCCGTCATCCAGTATTTGAGTTGTCGCCCAGACAAACGGACGGACGGACGAATGGAATGTGAGATTAAGTAAAAATATACAAAGCAATAACATGCAAAATGTAACCACCTGTCATTACCTTCAAAACCTGCTTTCCAATGGTTTACCTCTAAATAATCTACAAATGCTACTAGAAACATTTTGATTTCCATGCTTCATAAAAAGAACATCACTGTCAAAAAGTTACTTCCACTGTATTGAAATAAAGATGAGCTGGAAATGATTGAAAATCACTTTCAATCCTCAGTCTTATCATGACTTTTAAGGTTCAATAGCCGACTTTGAATGAACCTTCATGTATATTTCGAAATTGGAACCATCTGAGAAGGTTTGAAATCATGCAATCAACTCTAAAGTCAGAATTTTTTTTAACCATTGTCTCTAAAGCACAATGTGCCTTTCTAAAATATATCAAAAACTGGCTAAATGAGGTGATAATTTTACCATAACATGCACACATAATAATTTTACACACATGCATCAGAATCAATAATAAAAAAATAGGTGACAGTTTCTACATTACGTGTGACAGAGAATGCACGTACATTACAATCACTGAATCAGAGAGAAGTGATATAATTTCACCATGACATGTGGCCGAGAATGCACATGCATTAGAATTACTGAATCAGAAAGAAGTGATATAGTAATTCACCATGACATGTGGCAGAGAATGCACATGCATTAGAATTACTGAATCAGAAAGAAGTGATATAGTAATTCACCATGACATATACATGCGAATTGGTATAGTTTGTAGAATGCGAATAATGAATTTAGAATATGAGCAAAATAGAATGTAAGTTAGGAATTTAAAACATGAGCAAAATAGGATGTGAGTTATGAATTTAGAATATGAGCAAAATAGGATGTGAGTTATAATTTAAGAATGAGAGCAAAATAGAATGTGAGTTATGAATTTGGAGTATGAGCAAAATAGAATGTGAGTTAGGAATTTAGGACATGAGCAAATTAGAATGTGAGTAAAATAGAATGTGAGTTATGAATTTAGAACATGAGCAAAATAGAATGTGAGTTATGAATTTAGAATGTGAGGAAAATAAAATGTGAGTTATAAATTTAGAACATGACCAAAATAGGATGTGATTTATGAATTTAGAATATGAGCAAAATAGGATGTGAGTTATAATTTAAGAATGAGAGCAAAATAGAATGGGAGTTATGAATTTGGAGTATAAGCAAAATAGGATGTGAGTTATGAATTTAGAATATGAGCAAAATAGAATGTGAGTTATGAATTTAGAATATGAGCAAAATAGAATGTGAGTTATGAATTTAGAACATGAGCAAAATAGAATGTGAGTTATGAATTTAGAATGTGAGGAAAATAAAATGTGAGTTATGAATTTAGAACATGACCAAAATAGGATGTGAGTTATGAATTTAGAATATGAGCAAAATATGATGTGAGTTATAATTTAAGAATGAGAGCAAAAGAGAATGTGATTATGAATTTGGAGTATGGGCAAAATAGAAAGTGAGTTAGGAATTTAGGACATGAGCAAATTAGAATGTGAGGAAAATGAAATGTGAGTTATGAATTTAGAATATAAGCAAATAAAAATGTGAGTAATGAATTTAGGACATGAGCAAATTAGGATGTGAGGAAAATAAAATGTGAGTTATGAATTTAGAATATGAGCAAATAAGAATGTGAGTAATGAATTTAGAAAGTGAGCAATCTAGAATGTGTACAGAATGTGAACCAGATAATTATCTTATGTTGGATGTAACTAATGAAGAACCTAAGCGAGCAAGGTCCAGCCTACCACTCTCGTCATCATGATAAATTAATAGACAATTATACGACTGATTAATCTTTAAATACAATTTGAAGCTTGAATGGTTTCAACAATGTTTTGAGCATTGAGAAAAATGTTTTTTTCAGTGCAGCATTGTTTATACTATTGATGGGGACTACATGCAAACGAAACAAATATAAATCGATATACTACACAGAAAATATACAGCTGATAGATGATCAATATATATATGTATTTCATACCTACTGAGGTTCTAGGTACATGACGAGCGGGAATATATACTGTATTTAGCCAAGGCCCGGGGCGGGATACAGTATATTATTTCCAGGGGAGGATACCATATCACACCCCAGTTATACTCAGTAACAGTGTGGGTCATATCCACAGTAGCCCTAGGCAGATGTTAATATCTAGAGTTGAGTGTAAAATTGAAGTGCCTCGCCACAGTTTACATGAAATTCGCCATTTTTGAATATTAGAACAAAGTCAATTTTAAGTACTGTCATAAACATATTACTTTACCGAGATTTTTATTTGCAAGAAAACTGTGAGTATACATATAATTCATTATCAGTAGCAAGTGTAATTTTTCATTGGCGAGGGTGAAAACACAAGTCAATTGCCACTTGTCGAGTGACAGAAAAATCCTAAGACCCACACTGAGTATTAAACTATATTATCCAACCCAAAAGAGCACTAAAGTCGTGTATGGACTGAGTAGGCACAGGTGCATAAATAAATTATCAAACTACTAAAGAGGGTCACTTAATGAACAATGCAATACGCAATTCCATGTTGGCTTAATTAATTGCAATATGTTCATCAGTGTCATCATTGAATCACACTGGGATTTATAAGTATAGACAGTGAATCAATACTTTCCAATAAAGTCATTATGATAAAATATACTGTAACATAAAGAAAAACTATAAAAGTTAGCATGTAGTGTAAGGCATCAGCGCATCATGAGGAGATTTAAACAACGTAATCTAGAGTTCTTAGAATGTATATTACAGCAAAGGAAATGAAATGTAATAAATGAATAAATATTTATTCCAAGAAAATAACATGTCTGAATTAATACAGCATCAATAGGCCTCATGGAGGTTATCAATCGTTCAAGTTATCGTGAGTGATCGTACATTTCTGAAGCTTTCAAGATTGGATATAAATTAAGGAACTATAACAAAAAAGGATACCTTGGATTGATTTAAAATCATTACTCCCATTTACAGTCTAACTTGGTTCTATAATGATACTTGGACAGCTGCATATAAAGCCTATAAAGCATCTTATCTTATACTGGCACATTAGCCAGTTTAGCTGTGACCACACGGACATCATCTATCAAATATAATAACAGGATATAAAACAAACCGCAAAAACATGAACTGAATTATCGCTCGCTAGCAAAACTGATTACAATGACAACAAAGTGAGAAGAAGAAGCACGATTTGTGAGCTTGAATTATTTGTCGTTGATGATTGATCATACTAGCAATTTATTTGTAGATCAAAACGACCATCAGTTATGGCAAACAGATGATTTTGATGATTAAATAAGCCTTTAATATATGGAATATTCAAACATGATGCTGAATACAAAATGATGGTTATTATGACACAGTAAGTGTAAGTGTAAGTGTTACGCAGGAATCAAAGTGATGTACTTTATACTGTAATTTGCAGGATATCAAATTATCGTATACCATCAATTTAAAAAATAGATATTTAATAACAAACAGAATGTTCTGTGCAATCTCATGCAAAGATACCTCACGTGTTACTGTTATGTAGCATATTTTTTGTAATAACGTGATCACTATGATTGGACCACACACCTTGCATGAGAACGCTTATAAGCAATAATGCTCATCATTTACTTTTTATCTGACTGTAGAAGATGCTCTTCATCAGCACATGAACATTTGTAATAGAAACATTTCGTACAGATTTTAGAGAATTAAGTTCAGCTATGGAGGTATTACAAAATGATACTGAAAATGTGGACAACTCAACAAATGACATTCAATCGACATATGAGTTGCTTCAATCGAATAAAGGATTTATTATATACATGGCGATTATTTTTGTTTGTGGGGTAATTGGAAACGCTATAATAATACGGGTATATTGGAAAAGGCAGAAACACCACGCTTCAGCTACCAAGTCATTTATCAAAACATTAGCCGTAACTGATTTACTTCTTTGTGTGCTTATCATACCTTACAGTATTATCTTCGAGCTGCACTTGATACACAATTTGGTGCTCTGCAAAGTATTTGAATTTATTCGTCATTTTATGATTGCTCAAGCCTTGTTAACGATGGTGGGGGTGGCTATTGAACGATATTTTGCCATATGTCATCCCCTGAAACATTTCTCTCGATTACTGGGTCGAGTCATAATCACTGGCTGCACACTGGTATCATTCCTAACCGCTTTGCCAATCCTTTTTACATACGAACTGCATTACATAAATGGACAAGCGCATTGTGATATGCCGCTTGAACACACAAGGCATGGCTATGGCGTTTTTCTCACGATAGGATTTCTAGGTATGATCGTGACAACTGTTGTATTGTATGGCTTGGTGTACAAAGTTGTGTTACAGAGAGCATTGCGCTGGCGGAAAAAAGTACAGCCAATCAACACGTCACAAAAGAGAAAAGATGGAGATGACAATATGAAATCAAGTTGTATTTCATTACCTAACAGAATCGAGAATTGTACATCACCAAGCTGCTTAAATTGTTCAATGAAAACAAACAGCAGAAGCGAATATACTGGGGATGAAGAGGATAAAAAGAAGACTGTTGACATTAGAATTAACAACAGAGAAAATCAATACATAGCTCACACGTCCTCATATAACGAGCCATTATCCAATCAAAATTCAGGAAAAATTGAATCCGAAAAACCCATTATGACAACGAAACTTCACCCCAGCCCCCAAACAACTGAAAATCCCAACAAAATAAATGAAAGCGAAAGGATGAATCGTCCCATGTCTTTAGAAATCAATTCAGACCTCACAGGATCAATGATGCCTAAATTGAAATCAGCTGAAATTGGTCGATATTCCCGATTTCTACAGCCACCTCCGATGATACGTAAAAAATCTCTTTGGATAGAGGATGTGCCACTGTCGCCATCTTCACCCCAAACCCCAAATTGCAAAACACTTCCTCAGGACACAAAGACTAAAACAAACTGGCTAACAAAGCCTCATTATACCACTGCTGGCATGCTATTTGGTGTTACGATCATTTTTATTATATCTTGGATTCCGTTCTGGTTGATTAAGTTCCAACTTCTAAGCTATAGTAATGTTCTTAATTACACTTTTCTCATCAACCATGCAAGTAATGCAATCGTTTATTTCTTATGTAATAAAAGAGTTAGAAATGATATCGTGAAATGTATTTTATGTAAGCTGTAAATCCAGGGTAATTACAATAAATAAAAGTTATAAAATTTCACTAAACATTATCACAAATGAACAATAAAGTTGAGCTTATAACAAAATGATAAATAAATGATACAAAATGAATAATAATTTCATCCAGAGTAAAATGGCAACTAACAAAATACACTGTAATCTTATGTTCAATCTTTTTGTTATGAAAACTGATATGGTAGCTTGAAATGTATTTTTATGTATTTTATAATATAGTAGTTACATATTAAGCAGAGCACAGTTATTTTTTCTCAAAACACAGTATATGAAACATGCTTTGAAATGACTACCCAAGTCAAAATGACTACCCAGGTCAAAATATATGTATATTTAACACAGAGATGCATTTGTAAATAAAATTGCACTTAACGAGATTTATCACTTTTGTTGTTTTAATTAATTGATGTCATGTAATAAATATTTCTGAAAGCCAATGAAATATGAAACACATAATGTTACTACAGTTAACCCTGTGTATATTGAACACCCTGTGTATTGGTTTAATTGTTTCTTATAGATGGGTGTTCTTTACAAAGATGGCTCGTTAATATGTAAATCAAAAGAGAGTTCCTTCTTCTGAAAACTGTATCATACTGCTTATCCCAATATCTTATACTGCATATTTCTCTCATTTCTGGGAAGGTATGGCTGCCTACAATTGCAGTAGATCAAATGTGACTGAGGCATTACAGAGGGGCATTCCATCTGACAGGTTTTACTGTAATCATGATGACTTGATCCATGGGTGATTTCTTTCATTTGAGGCCAATTTATAGCCGAAGACCCATTCCAAAAGGATAGTAAAGGCTGTGGATCCCACAATGCCGAAGACCTTGTACTCGAAAATAGGTGGTATCCTGCAGTACTTTGTCTTGTCAAATTCTGATATTACACAGGCATTATCATCAATTTATTAAACAAGGCACAGGATATCACGACTTAAGAGACTAAGAGCTATAAATCTTGAATACACCCCTATAAAAATGATCCTCCAGATTTTCAATATACTGAGATTTCACAGTTCCCTTTGTTGACCTTCAATTATAATTTCCACTTTTACAGTATTGACCTTCAGCTGACCTTGACTGACCTTGACTATCCCCCAATTTCAACAAATCAAACCTTCAAGTCAGTCAGACTGTTCATATTGTATTTTATTGATACTTACTGATCTGTGTAATCTGTGTAAAAATGATCGTTAAAATCTGTGTAAGTGGAGCACCTTTCATTCCTCAACATAATATTTCATTTGAAAGGTGTTCTTCTAAAACAGGTTCATTTTACATTAAATTAATGGGAAATTGGATGGTGAACAACTTAAGGAGGTGTTTCACATACAAAGATTCATTTAACATTAGATTAATGGTAAAGTGGACTTTGAAATTGTTCTACTTATAGAGGTGTTCCACATACAGAGGTTCATTTTACATTAAATTAATGGGAAATAGACTACATGCGAGTAGAAATAATCTTGATTTACGTCATTAATATTCAAAATTCAGTCAAAGCGATGTCATATTTGAAATCTGCATGTAAATGTACATCTAGAAATATGGTTTCGAAAATTGTCTATCAACTTTGAAAATTTAATTTCTTTTGAAAATGTGACTTCTTGTTCGGGTTGATTCCTCATAGACCCCATGTTAGAAAATCACAAAAAGTGAATTATCTTTTCTTGTATTGGACAGATAACATTTTCTTTTACTGGACATATCTTAATTTGCATAACTATTAGATACATAACGGTTATATGAAAATTGAACCACGCAAATAGATGTAATTTAAGTTAAAGGGAACTTTCTACTATACCCGCCATGCTATCTGACCCGAACGAGCCACCTGGTGGTGAATCTGGTAACTACCTACTCGCATCTGCGTTATTGGATGGTGAACAACTTAAGGAGGTGTTTCACATACAAAGATTCATTTAACATTAGATTAATGGTAAAGTGGACATTGAACCTTTTCTACTTCTAGAGGTGTTCCACTTTACAGGTTTTACTCTACTTTTACTTAAGTAACATGACAACTGCCCATTATGCGATTGCTTCTTCTGATTGAAGCACAAAGATGTTACACAGGTAATAGGAACTGACTAATATCTCATGTTGTTACTGTCTCTCAAATGTCTAAAATAAGATCTTTGATCTAACATCTTAAGAATCCTTCTTTGTAATAGCTATTCAACTGGAGAATATTCAGACATTGTCAACTAATAAACCAAGATAAATCCTGATGTTGCTCTCACCATTACACTATTGCATTCATCAAACATTTCATTGTTATTAAGTTTTCAAAAATACACGTGTTGGGAATATTGAATTAAGAACTTTTATGTAAGAAATCAAGTCATGTGCCATGACAGCTTCACCTTACTAAAGGGTACCTGGAGATATTACAATCTGACATGTTAAAACAATTTATGTCAAGTAAGTAAAGTAAGACATTTAGTGCCAATTTTATAAAGGAGGAGGGTTATTTTGGTTATTTTCTGAGGATTTAAACAGGTGCATATGTTAGACCAATGCAATATCTCTAGGAAAAGCACTCATAGAAATGATGAAATAATTTTTACTTTGAGACAGGGAAGATGCAAACAACCCACCCACATGTTTTTTCTGAAATGTTTTCCTAATTTTCGACCCCTGCTTTTTCAAATTCTTTTGCATCAATAAGTTGCATTTTGACATATAATTAAACCCTTCAAGAGAATAAGTAACTCCTTCAGGGGTTTTAAAGATATCCATTATGGGTGACCAAAATTAGATGAAAGCAATGGATCGCATGCACTTTTCCCTATGGGAAAATAACATGGGAAATATTGTTTTCCAATTTATCAAAGAGGAGTTACTTATTCCTTTACAGGGGTTAACTGTGTCTGAAAATGCAACATTTTGATGCAACAAAAATTGAAAAAGCAGGGGTGGAAGGGGTTGAAAATCAGGACAACATTTTAGAAAAAACATATGGGTGGGTTGTTTGCATCTTCCCTGTCTCAAAGTCAAAATTATTTCATCATCTCTATGAGTGCGTTTCCTGGAGATAATGCATATGGACCTGTTTAAATCCACAGAAAAAGCCAAAATCCAACATATGACTGTCCCAAATCTGTTGCGATACTTTCCCTCCTCCTTTCTAGGGTAATTTCAAAATTCTTTCCAGTTAAGTGTCAGTTCTGGATAGACCAGAACACGTGTCTGGGAATGACATCTGTCACAGATAAGGCCAGCCCCCTGACAAATGCTTTGTAGGTTTAATGTTAAAGGCTGACCCTATCTGAGACGATCTGTTGCTGCATAATTTAAATCAAGTTTAATTAATTAAACTTACAACAAAATCACTAGTTCTTACAATTTTTATGACTTAAAGTGTGCGCCTGACCCGGCTACGTATAGCACAGAGTTTATACTGGCGGATTAGACTAGTTCATTTTTTATATGTGTGTGAAAGCTTTCTCTTATTTGCGTTTTTTTTTTCGTTTAGTACGGTTCTGTTATAATTGCCGAGGTCATATAACCGGGATAAAACAATGATTATCGTTGACTGCCCACACACAAAACATACGTTGAGTGAACAGTGTTATTACAAACAACAGGCTTTAGAATACAAAGCGTAGTGTGATAATAAGCTGTACAGTACCACTGCTGCATGTACATATTACTCCCAAGGGCTCCCAAAGAGTGGATAGGGAGGTTGTGTTTGTCACTTTTAAATTTTACATTTCAAAATTGTCATTTTACATGTCATAATTTGTTGGTTTCATTCGTTTAGCCAATCAAAACATTGTAAAACAATAAATTGTCTGTTACGTACAATCAATTTTGTTCAGTTTTGATTAGTTGTCAGAATAAAGTTACGTTCATCTGAATCCATGTATCAAAACAAAAATCCTATTTTTACTTCAAAATACTTCAGTGAGATGAAGGCTCGGAATTGTCACATGCAATAACTTATTGTCGTATTCGTTATTTTATCTTCTCGATAGTAGCATTTAGTCGCACATTTGATGCCAGGTCACCTTGTCGCGTACCTCTTGGGGAACCCCACATTTATGTGTGTACTCATGGAAGTAAATTCCCCGGTGTAGCCGAGAGTCACAAACTTTTCAACAGGTTCGAAATGACCAATTTCTCTCATATATACTCTAAATATTTTATTATTTAGCACCTACAAAGTATTGCTAATAACCATATGTTATTTCAATAAGGTAACTTATCTGGCTACATGTAAATTCAATACCAACACACTAGCTGTTCTCTCAACACGTCCTGGCTTACCTTGTGGTGACAAACCCTGGATTTTCACTATTTATAGTTTATCAACACCTGGACGCATGCGCATTTTATAGTTTATCGGGCACTTTAAGGAATACACTCTCTCAGCAGTATGAGTTCCTCCCAATGCATAGATAATCTTGTACTCCTTATGAATTTAAAATACATAGACGAGAGAGAAGCTGTCAAGACAACCTGAATAAATAAAGGATTCTAATTTTGATATCGCAATCCCTTAGTTTATGTTTATAATCCCTTGTAAATGCTTTTTAGTGCCTGGACTGCTCACGTGCAGTAAAATGTGAAATTCTGTCAATACTAGGGCTGAAAACGAGGGCTCATATTAAGCCATAACTTTTTAACTAGAAATCCCTTCATTAGTATGTTCCAAAGCAGAGGGGTGACACAGCAATGAGAGATTCTCCTTTTGGAGAAAATGGGATGTACATATTAGTTGCCAGAAACAAGTTAATTTCGAAAAAAGGATGTCTTTCTTTAAAATTCATTTTTGAAATCTCGATGTCGACAGCTTTATGATTTTTTATGGAATGGGCAAGCGAACAGCTGAGTGTCATTGGTACAAATCCACAACTTTTTAACATGTATCTAAGATGCTGTATTATAAGGACTTAGGTTTTTTAGATTTTGAGGATCTTTGCAGAAGATCTTTGCATTAATTCAAACATATTCTAATGCAGAAATGAGAGAGATCTGCCCCATCAACAGTTACCTGAATATGGTTAACACGCAAAGTGTCCTTTAACAGATTTTATTAGCAGGCAATGTAATGCCTCATCGAATCCCATTGAGCTACAGGAAGTCGAGATGGGCATTTGTGGTGGTATGAAACAATTAGTAGTAATCCTTAGTAATACTAAGTAGCATGCAAAAAATTAATGACTACAATAAACATCCTGTGCATGATTTTTTGAACCTAGTAATTATATTCTTTACACAGGAAATTCGCACAACAATTATCGCGATTACTGATAATGAGTCAGAATCATCAAACACGTGGAGCACATACATGCATGTTTTAAGGTTGCTTCTTAAGAAGTATTTTGACAAAAAGTCTCATAACGAAGCATTTTTTGCAAGTGTAAAATGTCCTTTTTGTTAGAAAAGCTTA